AAAAATCACTTCGCTGCAGCTCGGGCCCTTCAGTGAGTCGTCATGTTTCATCAATCATCCTGCCTGGATCAATTTCTTGTAGGTGGCCTCATTGCAAGACTCCGCCAGGAACACGACCTGGGCCTTGCAAGCTTCCACATGCTTGGCAACCTGAGCAAAAGCAGCAAAGCCAGAATGAAGTAAAGCACAAAAACCATGGAAAAACATTGAAAAAGTAACTTACCAGTGGACGCCTCGTGCAGGCCACGGATGACACCATCAACTTGGAGAGCCCGCTTGAGCACACCTCGTACAGCTCCATTCAAGTCAGTGACCTCACGAGAACTCTGCTTCAAACAGCAACTTCATGGACTTCCCCAAACTCCGCTGTGACTCGCCTCCTCCTCTTTCTCAGGCTCGACAGCGACAGTCTCCTCCTCTTCCAACTCAGCCATGATCTGACACAAGGCTACATTGCATCTGTAAAGAAACTATAGTAGGCCATACAATGTGATTGCCAACCCTGCCTTGCTAGCACAAACCCTTTCCAGCAAAGAGACAACCCTTTTTGAGCCCGACGTGAGTAGGGTAGAGTTGATTGCACTGCACTTTGCTTCGCAGCTAAAAGGGAACACTGTGCAACCTATCCGGTCTTCTCTTAATCATGTCTTGGATATTGTCATCTCTCGCATGTTTTCTCTTTTCTGTTGTTTGCTCGCAATCTTCTGTGCGGCAAAAATCCTACTCAGAACAGCACCCTCATCTTCATGCCTGGCAACAGCATGTGGCGGACAAATGCGTTGACAGGGCCATATGAAAAGGATCTGAACCCAATCCATTCTGGACCTCCACCCTAGTAGCAATGGCCTCCAACCTACTAGCAATAGCCTCCAACCCACTAGCGATAGCCTCCATCATGTTGTTTTGCAAATGTGTTTGAGAAACTAGTGTCATCGCGAAGATGCCAGGTGAACCATTCTTCCAAAGGTATTCGGGATGCATCTCAAGGCTTTGTCGCCGGCTCTCCGCCTGACACAGAAAGGAACGAGAAGACGAGAAGAGGCTTTGGGGTCGTCATAAGGTCGTCAAATTGTCGCATCAAATTGTCGCCAACTGGCGCTGAATTTCTTCACAACTTGCACTTGCCAGTTATGCTCAAGCATACTTGCTGAAATTTTGGAAAAGCAGGTGAAAACCAGCTGAAAACAACAAAGGTGTCATTGATATGTGTATTTGATTCCCTGTGTTCGCCTTCTTAAATCCCAAGCTGTCATCAATTCCATTTGCCTCCTCTTTTGACTCCAGGTCTTCCACGATGCGATCCCACCTCAGGCAACCACCGAGTAGGCTGCTGACAACGGACATCTGCGAAAAATCCAAGTAGACAAACGGAGAACAACGCGAACGAAAACAGAGACTGGGACAAACACAAGTGTGTCTTCCGAAAGTAATCTCTTGCCCATCCAATTGGAAAGTAAGAGTCATCTAATCCCACTTCCGTTCACCCAAACTCCCTTGTTTTCTTCGGTGATAGACCCGACAGAAGGTGTACCAGCAACACACATCCAAAAGTTGCAGTCCTGGTGTGTTTCTGGACGAAAACGTTGCAAAGTAGGGTCTGTTGTGCCTGCCCCAGAATGCCTTGTGGACGTTAGTTGAGGCGACGGTCGCAGGCCCATGGTGGAAGTCTGCTGCAAACCATTCCGGGTGGAGTCGGGGACCCCATCCTCATTGAAGAGCAGCATGGGCGACGACCCGTCACACACTGCAAAGGCGGAGGAGAAACTCCCAAGCAAATCAAATGCTCAAAAAAGATTTAAAACACCCAGAGGAAGGAAAAAGAGAAAGGCGGAAAGGTCGAAAAGCATCAAGTTTGGCTCAGACCGTCAGATGAAAACGTTCCTGCCGTCGGTGCTTCTGACAGGGCCCAACTTTTGAGCTGAGCAATTGCCCTCGCTACGAACGGAGCAAAGGGCATCGCTACTAGGAGCGCAAGGACGCTACGAACGGGGCTCCTGACATTACTACTAGGAGCAAGAAGCTACTAGGTTGGAGGTCATCACTCTTAGGTTGGAGGCCATCGCAAGTAGGTTGGCAAACGGGGGAAGGGCAGAAGAAGTAAGGAGGGACGGGGCGGGTGGTTTTGGGAGGCGCATGCTGAGGGCACCTATTGAAGGCTGCCTCGCTCTTTCACACGACAAGTGGCGGAAGGAACTTCCCAAGCATCACAAACAAATGTGTGCGCGCAATCGACAGGGCCAACCCTTTGCCGTTTGCAAACCAATGCCTTGTTGGCTTCAACTTGAGCCAGCTGGATAGCGATGGTAGCAAAATGGAGAATGTTACCTCAACTAAATTGCACCCTCAAGGTGCACTCTCATTGTGGTCAGCGACAGTATTTTGATCAGCTATCGTGACCGTGACTATTAGGTTGGAGATCGCTAGTAGGTTGGAGGCCGCTATTAGAAACAAAGGAAAAAGAACAGGAATAAGTAAAGTCTAATCATTCCTCATTGTCAAAACCTGTGGGTCAGCTTTCTACCAAGGTGGCCTTACAGCTCTCAAAACCATCTAGTTGCATTGCCTGCAACACATGGCAGCACCCTTTTGTAGCTCACTGTATCATCCTTGAATAAAAGAAAGCACCACCTTAAGGCTTCTGGGTTCTTGTGTTGTTGCCTCTCACCACTACGGACATGTGGGAAGCGCTTCGAAGCTCAGCAAACACTGAGAAAAGTTATCAGGCGCATAGACGTGGGTGAAAAAGAGCTTCTTGTTACTACTAGTAAGGCACTTGTTACTAGAAGCGATGCACTTGTTCCTAGTAGCTTCTTGTTACTACCTGAAAAAGAATCAGAACAATTGGATACAAAGTGATACAAACCGCATCAAACCGCCAACCTGGCGGGGAGAAACACCGAGGGTTGCACTTTTGGTAGTCGTCGAAACTCTTTCTCCCATTTGGCTCGATGCAGCGAGCCGAGGTCGCCTCGCAGAAAAACGTTGTTTCAGACCTCCCGGAGTTGGCGTTAGTTGACACGGAAGCGCTAGTAGTAACAAGTGCCACGCTAGTAGTAACAGGTGCCTTACTAGTAGTAACAAAGAAGCTATTAATTTACTTTAAACCTAATTCTAATAGCTTCTTTGTTACTACTAGTAAGGCACTTGTTACTAGTAGCGATGCACTTGTTACTACTAGCGAACCTTGTTACTACTAGTACGGCACTTGTTACTAGTAGCGATGCACTTGTTCCTAGACCAGGAAAACTTTAGTTTTCTTTGGACCGTTTTACCCTTTTACTTCTTGGCTTTAGAGCTTTCTTCCATGTTGGTGTCTTTTTGTCATTTTGTATTTAGACCATTCTTTGATGTGTTTGTACTTTGCTTTTTCTTTAGGCCTGTCTTGTCTTCTCGTTTTCCTCTATGTACTTGTGTTTCTTTAGACCTTTCTTCCACTTGTTCTTTCTAAATCTTTTAAATCTTTCTTTGGACCTGTCTTCCTTCCTTTTCGATGTTCTCTAGGCGTTTCTCCTTTTTTTTCACTTTTAGATAAATTTATGTTGATCGTTCTTCCTTGTCATTTTTCTCAGACCTTTCTTCCTATTATTTGTGAATATAATATATATATATATTGTGTTTCTCTTTAGACCTTTATTCCCTTTCTTTTTTGTAGACCATTCTTCCTGCTCTTTTGTATCTTTTCTTTCCACTTTTTCCTGTTCTCTTTGTATTATATAGTGTCTTCAGACCCTGCTTTTCTTGCTTGTTGTTCTTTCTGTTTTTCCTCATTGCTCGCCGAGCCCGCTCCTCTAGTGAAACCCCAATTTGGAGTCCTAAGAAACATAACTCACCTTCCCTTTTCGAAAGCGAGCCTCCAGGTGAACTTGAGGTGAAGCTCTGAGTGCTACCTTGGACTCAACACATCAAAAGACCCAAACTTCCACAGATACCAGTAGCTTCTTGTAACTAGTAGCAATGGCCTCCACCTAATAGCGATGGCCTCCAACCTCTTGAAAATCTGTGAATGACTGGAACCCTTCACACCTCCACCTTGTCGTGCTTTTTCTTTTCCTGGTGCTCATCCACTTCTTCGTCCCTGCGCTGGTGACATGGTGCACATGCAGCTTGTGTTTCAAGCACAAGACGACTCCTCGGCGCCATAGCATATGCTGCAATAATTGCCTTGGAAAGCACTCTGCGATCATCTGCGATCAAACATTCTTGGAATGCATTCTGCTTGATCTCGGTTGGAGGCCATCGCTAGGATGCAAAATGCTTAGCTTTCTCAGCTCAGCGCTAGACTCTGCAGCTTCGTCGCGTGACTTCTGGAGCTTAACTGAGGCTGTTGCACCGAGGCTGCGGAAGCCTCGCTTTGTTGCCATCTCTTCAGCAGTGAGGCCATGTTGGTTGACTGATGTAGCAAGCGCACGGGCCTTGACAGCACTGAAAACCAAAAATCAAAGCTTTGCCTTGGAAGAAAAAGAGAAAAGGTAACCTAGAAGCGATGGCCTCCATTGCCTTGGAAGAGAAAGCCCGCACCTCCAACAACACTTTACAAACGTCTTCATGTCCAGAATGGGCAGCAAACATCAGCGCTGTGCTGCCTTAGTTCCAAATATGTAGATCGTATGATCGCAACCTTTGGAATAAAGAACATCCATGAGGCCTTCTTCGTTTGCCAGTGAGGGATCTGCTCTCAATCTGAGAAGCCCCTGCAAGCTTGAGACGCTGCGAGACATCAAATCTCCATTATCAAAAAGCAGTGCAGGCTTGTTGAACTGTCAGCTTGCACGGGTGAACTGGCAGTTCAAAATAGCTCAAACATCTAGAAGGGGTGCGAATCGCCAACATTTCTTTGTTGATTGCACCAAGCATTGCTGCGGTACTTGGCTTTGCTGCGGTATGCGAAATGAGAATGGTAGCAACGTAATATGGCCGCACAGTGGGAAACTGGGAAACATGCAAAGCACCTCCAGCACCGGCAGATTGCCGCGATGCGCTGCGTAAAGGAGTGGAGTTTCTGCACGGCGGTTCTTGGCATTGACATCAGCTCGTGCCTTTGACGTAACAAGAAGCTAGTAGTAACAAGTGCCACGCTAGTAGTAACAGGTGCCACGCTACTAGTAACAGGTGCCTTACTAGTAGTAACAAGGTTCGCTATTAGAAACAGCGGAATTCTTGCTCCTAGTAGTACGGCCAGGAGCTGCTAGTGGCGTCCTTGCTCCTAGTAGCGATGCCAGGAGCCCCTAGTAGCTTCTTGCTCCTAGTAGTACGGCCGGGAGCCCCCAAAACAAAACTACCAGAGAGAAATCTCTAGCTCTGCTTTTCACAAAGGAGCTTGAAGAAACACCTCGTTGAGAAGCAGACTTTTGCCAGCTTCTGGAGCAAACGAAGGGAGGTCTCCTTCTTCAAGCCATAATCAATTTTACATGTAAACAAATAGCGATGGCCTCCAACAAAATAGCGATGGCCTCTAACCTAATAGCAATGGCCTCCCGCCTAAAAAAGTGTGAAGAGAACTGAGCAAAGCCGAATCCTTGTGGTGGGAGCTCTTTGCAAGGAGATGTATGGGAAGGTCTCCACCTTGACCAGACACAAACTCGTTGCTGCAATTTGCACAAACTAACAACATGACCCTCTTAGATCCTATGTCGTTCTGCTCATGGAAGGAAAGAAACAACAGAACTGTCTAAAGAAAAAAACAAACTAGTAGTAACAAGAAGCTAGTAGTAACAGGTGCCACGCTACTAGTAACAGGTGGCTTACTAGTAGTAACAAGAAGCTATTAGAAACAATAAGCAAACTCAGAACATTGTTACTACTAGCTTCTTGTTACTACTAGTAAGGCACCTGTTACTAGTAGCGTGGCACCTGTTACTACTAGCTTCTTGTTACAAAGAAAGAATCATCAAAGAACTGAAAGTTCAGGTCATCTATGCAACTCAGGACACAACGTTCATCCGCGCAGCTAGGGCTGGCTCCAGCCTTGCGCAACAATCTCAATGATTCGATCATCTTTTGGACCTTTCTACGAACAAGAACGCTACTAGGAACAAAGGGCATCGCTACTAGGAGCAACGGCCTTACTACTAGTAACAAGAAGCTAGTAGAAACAATATATAAACTAAAACTTAATTAGAATTAAAGGAAAATTAGTAGTAAAGGAGGCTACTAGGACCTTTTCGCCCGCGCGCGCGCGCGTGGGCGCGGGGGGGGGGGGAGGAACAAGAACGCTACCAGGAACAAAGGGCATCGCTACTAGGAGCAAGGACGCTAGTAGGGGCTCCTGGCCTTACTACTAGTAACAAGCAGCTACTAGGAACAAAGAGGCGATGAAGTACGAACTTTCTTCGTTCTTTCCTGTGGCTAGCTTCCTTTCCTCCGTTCTTCCTTTCTCCTTTTAGGCTTTTTCTTTTCCTTTCTTGTTTCCTTGTGCCTTCTGTTCTAGTGGTTCTCTTGACGGCATGCTGTGACACTTTCAGGCGAAGGAGATGCCACTGTGCAAAGATGTGAAACGGCACACACAGCCCGCTCACGCCGCTCACGCCAGAGAGGTCACAATTCGTAGACTTGTTACTAGTAGCGATGCACTTGTTACTACTCATACGTGAGTAGTATTACACAAAATCAATGAATGTCTTTTGCAAAACTCTTTTCATAGAATGTGCCGATCGTGCTTTTTCAGGCCTCCCAACAGGTGGGAAGTCGACTCGATAGCGCGGCAACTTCCGCGCCAGCAACGCGAAAGGAGTCTAGGAACAAGTGCATCGCTTCTAGAAACAGGTGCCTTACTAGTAAGTAGTAACAAGAAGCTTTTAGTAACAATAAGAAACTAGGAACAAGTGCAAGCTAATAGCTTCCTATAGCTTCCTAACCTACAAGCAATGGCCTCCAACCTAATAGCGATGGAAGGCCGCCAGCAATCTGATCTTGCAAATGCTCTGACTCATGCAAGACGCCCAGGGCTGTAAAGGCACTTTCAAGATACTCACGCCACCGCGTTGGCACTGCGTATGCGTCTACGGAACAACTCCGATCAAACCACAGCTTTCGCAGCACCTCGACTTTCTTCACACAATTCGCAAAGCCCTTGTTCGATGCTGTCACAAGTGGAGGGGATGCCACACGACCCAAGCCAAATCACCGCATTTAGCGCTGGTGCAGTAGGGTCGTGCCGTTGCAAACAAAACCAGCCACCAGTTTCACATCCAAGCAAGCCTAGAGATACTGCAGTGACAAAACAAAACAAAACCGTTTTCGTGGGGCCTTGGGAGGGCCACTGGAGGCCTGCAAAGATTCGTCATGCAGCCATGGGCAGCTTTGAAGACTATGAGGCATGGACGCGCTTCAATTCCGAACGAAAACTAGGAAAACTTGCCTCAGGTCGCGTTAGTTAACCCAGATTGAAATCAGAGACAAACCCAAAGACAAACGGTAACCTGAGTTTTCGCAGGAGTCTCATCGAATCCTTACACTAACCTCGCGCTCCTCCTTCCAGAGGTCAGATCCAGAATTGTTGCAAGGGATCAGAGCAAAAGTAAGGTCATCTACAAGCCATTTCAATGAATAGAAGGAGTAGCTGCATATGGGAAGCACTGGGTAGAACCGCGTTTGGCACCCCAAAAAACACCGCATATAATATATAACTATATTATATAACAGCAATGCCACAACTGTGCACATCACCTGCACAATCATCGCGCATAGCACAGTGTATGGCACCACGGTAGCATACTGGAAAATTACCCATGACAATGAATCTTCAACGGCTAGTAACAAATGCATTACTACTAGTAGCAAGAAGCTACTAGTAGCGATGCACCTGTTACTAGTGCCGATGCACTTGTTACTAGGGCGGGGGCTGATTGAGCAAGAAGCTCGGTACTCCAAGAAAACTTGACCAAAAACACGAGAAAAAAGTGATGCACATGCTGCACAAGTCCGGTGGGGAGAAAGGAATGCACAGGAAATCCCACACATTCCAGTTAGTCCACAATTTGGAGATTGTCCGTGCAAGTGCAAAACATCAAAGAAATGAGTACCGTTGGATGTCAACAGAACACACCGCGCGCCTCGATCGCAGCTTCAGCAGTCCTCGCAAAACCATATTGAAGACGCTTGACACGGCAAGTGACCGCAGTGCAAACATTCGAACAAGAAGACATCATCACCAGCCAGACATCTGCCAAGGGCACAGGCATCATCGGGACCGGCGTTCAATGATGCCTCCAAGTGGGAGTCGTCCGTACATGCTAGTGAAGGAATTTGGACGAAATGACATTCCGCGAAAGGGAAACTGCAGCCCGCGCAAGGCAGGCGATTGGACGGCGAAAGAAATGCAGTATCTTAGACATACGCAACATACACACAGACTGGCCGGAAGTGCATGAGCGCGTGTGATTCATTGTAGTTTCACCTGTTCAACTGCGTGAAATCCAGACGAACAGCGTCCGATCGCTCCTAATAGCAATGCCAGGAGCCGCGAACGTAGCGTTCTTGTTCCTGGTAGCTTCTTGTTACTACTAGTAAGGCACTTGTTACTAGAAGCGATGCACTTGTTACTACAGTGCGTTTTCCTTCCTCGGATCCGTCCCATCTTCATCTGCATCGCTTCGGGACGAACGGCACGAAGAAAGCATCTCCGCTCTGCCTCATCACCCACTAACTGTCAGCAAGAAGCCTTCTACCGAGCTAACCAAAATGAAAGGCCTGCTGCAGCCCCTCTCCACAGAAGACAAGCCAAGAAGAGCAAGACCAAGACCAAAGAGTCGAGTGGCCTACTCTGCCGAACAAACAACGCGTATCATGACGACACCACGCCGCCTAGCAACCCTTACACTGACGGACGAAGCCCAAGCATGACTAGGACACATGCGAGTGCTGGCCGGCCCCAACAAAAACTTCACAAGTTTCACCGAAAGTCTCTTTCTCAAGTCAGTGTTTCCAGCTACTAGCAACTGGTTACTAGTAGCGTCCTCTTATTCCTAGTAATCATGCCAGGAGCTACTAGTAGCTTCTTGCTCCTAGTAGCGATGGCCTTTGTTACTAGTCTTTCTTCGCAAGTCTTTTGCTTTGAAAGCGCCAAGCTCAGGAGGCTCCTTGCATCACGGAGAATGGCCTTGCTGAGTGTCCAGCCATGGCGCATGGGCTTCTCCTGATGACCACACTTGCGATGCAGTTCGGAGTTGACACGAAATAGCTTTCCTTTCATCAAGTATTGACCCACTACAAGATTCTGCCAGCACTCTGTATAGCATTATGATCCTGAACAAGATAGCACGCCTTTCATAGCTTTGTAAAGCTGCGGCACTTCCGGCTTTGACAGCTCATTGGATCCCGCAATCACTTGTCAATCGGATCGCCCGTGCGTCGTCTTCCTTGGCTTCAACGAGCTGCAGCACTTCCGGAACCATTCGGAAGTCCTGGCAGGTCCACAGGTCCAGACACTGCTCACAGCACTCTTCGGGTACAAGCAATTGACGTGCACCATTGGGTATGTCCCATTCCCTGGAATTGTGGATGTCATTGTTTACTGACTATTACAGGCCACAAGCAACTAGAAATGTATAAATAGAATACGGATGGTGTAAAAATCAGAGGAGTGAGGTAAAAAGTTTAGATTCGGAAAAGCAAGTGGACTGTGCAACTTGGCATTCGTAGTTTCGAAAAAAATATACAATAACGCATTGATTGGTATCCCAACGTGTGCCTACTGTCAGGTCAATATTTGCCACACGCGCAGAGTGAAGTCTACCACGACACGTTGCTGCAGTAGCATCCTTGTTCCTAGTAGTACGGCCAGGAGCCCCAAGCAGCGTTCTTGTCACTAGTACTAAGGCCAGGAGCTACTAGTAGCGTCCTTGCTCCTAGTAGCGATGCCCTTTGTTACTAGTAGCGTTCTTGTTCCTAAACCCTTTTCAGCACCTTTCCACCAACGTTTCACTCAGGTTGGCATCCAAGCGCCTCCCTCACATGCCGCTGTCTCGTCCACGTTCGGGCATACCGCATTGAAGGTCTAGTTTGGGGAAAAAAGGATAACAAAAACGAAAAGAGACAAGAGTACAAGCATTTTACCGGTAGGTCCCGCAACAAAAGACAAAGATGACAACCGTAACAACCTTCCAAGGTGACACACAGCTCCCCCTGGCAGCCTTGCTCAGCTTGTTTGTCAACCACTCGGAGTCCTTCAAGACTGCTGTCTTTGCATGGCAAATAAATACACCAAGCAATCAGCAGGCAATGGCCTCCAACCTACTAGCGATGGCCTCCAACCTACTAGCAAATAAAAAAACCAAGCCAACCCTTTGCAGCTAAGGAAAAAACAATCTGGACACAAAAACACAAATACAATCCCGAAGTGGCGCGCTGCTGGTTCGTACGCGTGTTCGATGGTGTTCAGAAGGTTTCTAGCTCCGGTACTTGTTGCAAAGTAGGCTAAAGAAAAAATGTCTCAATTGCTTTAACTTAAAACAAATCGGCGCTGGGTGGCAGCCATTGGCAGCTCTTACATTGTGCTTCTTTGCAACGGTGTATTAGGAGCAAGGACGCTACTAGGGGCTCCTGGCCTTACTACTAGGAGCAAGGACACTACTAGGGCTCCTGGCATCGCTACTAAGAGCAAGGACGCTACTAGGGCTCCTGGCATCGCTACTGGAAGCATTCCTACTACTAGTAACAAGAAGCTATTAGCTTATTGTTTCTGTTGATGCATGACCCCTGCACAAAGATGACACGCTTTTGCATGCTGCATGAATCTGCAGCCCTTTTAGATGAAGTTGAGGTCAAGACACCTCAACGGGGCGAGAAGACCCCACCAAGACCACGAAGTCAGCAGAAAAGCAGAGCATCCTTTTTGCGTTGTCTTGAGGGTTGTTTTGAGAGGGTTTTACTTGGGTGAGGAACATGCCCGACCACCAACAGGTTATGAGCCCAACGTTGGAAGGTTCTTCTAATCCACACCCGTCTATGCTCCGGCGCCGTCGAATCATGGACCGTGACGATGGGCCGCTCGCTTTGCCACCTCCTGCTGATGTCCGCGAAGACCTGGAGGTGAAGCAACCAGCGGAAGAGCTCGAAGCTGGTGTAAAGGAAGAAGAAGCCAAAAAGGAATTCAGCACCCCGGCTCGCTCGACAACTGGGCTGGGGAATACAGGAACAGGGAAGACAGAAATAGAGGTGTTCAAGAGCGGTGGATCGAAAGAAAGTGTCGTTGAGGCCCCAAGAGGAAAGCCCATGACCTTGGCTCCGTTGGTTCCACCGGCACCTCAAACCATGCAGCCCTTGTTCTCCCAGGAGCAGATCCGTGAAGCTAAGGCATCTGCTCGACGAGCTCCACAACTTTTCGGCCCAGGTTTGATGCCGTCCTCTTCAGGTGATGATCAGCCGACTCAGGTGTCTCGCCCTGCCTTCCTGGAAGAAGAAGAAGAAAAAAGGGAAGGAAAAAGAGGAGGTAAGAAAGAAGGGTATAGAAGGGTGGTGGAGATGGAAGAAGAAGAAAGTGAGGAGCTAAGAAGATGTGAGGAAAGCTCCAACGACCCTCGAAGGACCCGTCGCGATCGAGAACGGGAAGACCAAGAGGAAGAAATCATGTGGCGCTGGCAGATTTCACAGGATGTGCAACGGCTCACTGACCTTTGCCAGGCCCAACAACGTGAAAATGATCGCCTCCAGAAAGAGCTCTATGAATGGAGGATTGAGGGGGAAGACCGAAAGAGGTTGGAGGTTGAGGAAAAGAAGAAGAAGGAAAGGGAAGAAATGGAAAGGCCAAGGAGTGCCTCCAACTTCAACACCCCTGATGAAGAGGGGCCGAATGGGGTTCCAGGAGCCGATGACCTACATGCCCGAGGACGTACCCCGTGGTCGACCTACCCTGCACGCTATGGGGTCAAAGGTTCCAGGTCCCGCTCCAAGGAACAACAGAGAAAGGGTCGAAGTCCATCCTATGGAAAAGGGGAATTGAAGGGGCCTAGGCCTACAACCGGGGGAGCCAAATTGTCCCCTGAAGTTCAACAGATGGAAGTGATGACACTTTTGGTGGAAAGTATGAAGTCCCTCCAACGACAGATCTCCGAGGGACAAGAAGCTCAAGGAACGGTGAAGGGGGTGGAGATTGTCCGGCAGGTGGCTGAACTACCTGTTCTACATCCTCTACATGGTTCCACCTCGCAGCTGCAGCTTGGTGATTGGCTGCTCCTTGTTCAGCCTGTGGTGGCTGACCTGACGACCACCTCTGACATTTGGTGGGATCGAATGATGACTGAGGTTGAGAAGTGGTACCAGGACCACCAAGCAATGGCTCCTTTGGAACGGGTCAAGCATGAACCTGCGCCGCCATCATCACTCAGTGTTCCGAAATGGGCGAAGCTCGAACGGCGAATGGCCACCCTGTTGCTGAAGGCAATTCCAGAAGCTCAGAAAGATGAACTGGTGGCTACAAAAAGATTGTCAGTCTTCGCCATCCTCGCCCATCTTCACGTCACCTACTGTCCTGGTGGCATAAGCGAGAAACAAATGCTCCTGCGGAACCTTGAAGATCCAACGGAACCAGGAAATCTGCACGACACGGTGGTTGGCCTCCGTCGATGGCTTCGCTGGCGTGCAAGGGCTCAGGAGATTGGAGCCACCGAACCCGACCCGTCCATTCTGGTCAAGGGTCTGAATCGCTTGACGAAGCGAGTTTTGGATGCCAATGAAGGTCTACGGTTCCGGGTGTCTCTTGCTCGGAATGCCCTCCAAGTTGACACCAATCCCAATGCGCTCTCGGTCAGCCAATTCGCCACCCATCTCATTGCCGAGATCGAACAACTCTCCTTGGCTGAGAAGCGAAGTGGTGCAACTACAAAAAAGGAGGAAAGTAAAGTAAAGAAGATGGAGGAGATCAACAGAAAGGCCAAAGGAGGTGAAGGCAAGCTGAAGGAGATGGAAGTCAAGTCACCGTGCAAGTTCTTCCTCAGCGAGGCCGGATGTCGTCGTGGCCGTGATTGCAAATGGTCGCATGACCAAAAGGATGAACAGAAAAGGTGTTACCTATGTGGCTCCACGAAACACCTAGCTCCGACCTGCCCTACAAAGGAGAACTCAGGTGGAACTGCCCCCAACTCGCCACCGAAGGTTAAAAAAGAGAAAGAAGAAGAGAAGGATCCAAAAGGCGAGGAAGGAGGAAAAGGAAGTGGAGGTCAAGATGATGAAAAGATGGATGAACTTCTCGCTGAGGCAAACAAGATGCTCAAGGCGATGAAGGACAAGGAAGCTTCGGAAGCCAAGCTGAGCAGATTGCATCAGCAGCTCGATGAGATCAAGAAAAGCATCAAAACCCTGAAGCTGACCCGCGTTCGCGAAGCGAAGATGGGGTCTTTGCAAGAAGAAGAATGGGGACTTTTGGACTCTGGTGCTACGCATCCCCTGAGGCCTCTTACGTCTACGGACAGCCTCGAGAAGTTCAAGAAGGTCTCTGTGTCCTTGGCTGATGGCCGCACCACACCTCTGCTGATGACTGAGTCGGGGGTGATGGTTTCAACAAATCTACAAGTGGAACCAATAGTACCCCTTGGAATGCTGGCGGGAGGAGGATGCAGGATTTCATGGAAGAAACATGGCATGAAAGTCGCCCATCCCACAAAAGGATCTCTGCCGATCAGCATCCAAGCGGGGTGTCCACAGATCCCCAAGCAGCTGGCCCTCGAGCTCATCCAGGAGTATGAGGATCGTGCCCAGGAGGTAAAGCAAGCTCGCTTGGTGGGTGAAGTACATCCTGAACGGGAGGTGGAGTGGATGAAGTTGCTAGTTGAAGGCCATCCAGCTTTGGCAGAACTTCCCGAACATGTCAAGAAGGCCCTGGTCCAACAACCGGGGGAGTGGAAGGACCTCCCTGCCAACCGACATCAACGAAAGCGGTTGAAGGCAGCTGGTTCGGTGATCCTGCATTTATATGCTGGAAAACGTGAAGGATTCACTCTACAAAAGGCTATGGAAGAGCATGGCTTGGGAACCCGTACCTTGGAGGTGGACCTACAGAGGGGTGATGATCATGATATGGCATCCCTGGACTCGAAGGCCTACAAGGGCCTGCTTCGTTTGGCGTTGGATGGGGATTTGGCGGCGGTGATTGGAGGGCCCAACTGTCGTACCCGATCAGTTTTGCGACACTACCCCGGTGGTCCAAGACCTGTAAGATCCTGGGAAGAGCCATGGGGCATCAGTGCCCACAGCCCTGAAGAGATGGCTATGTGTCAGGAAGATGATGTCCTGATGTGGCGTCAGATCTTTCTCTTCCTGGTCGCGGACATGGCTGCCAAGTTGAAGGATTCAACTGATGAAGATAAAGAAAAGAAGAAAAGAGAGGAGGTGATGTTTCTGCTAGAGCAGCCTTCTGATCCTAAGGACTACATGCCCTCGTGTGTCTCCTTCTGGAGTACGAAGCCATGGAAGAAGCTTCAGAGTGCCGCTCATCTACAAGTCCACCACTTGAACCAAGGAGACTATGAACCCTGGAAGGAGGATGCTCCGGTGAAGCCTACAACTCTGGCTGCCAATGTGGAGCTCCGCTTACCAAAAGGAAAAAACCCTGGATCGAAGAGCAGAGGAGAAGGTCAGAAGGTTCCATCGTCCTCACTTGCTCGCTGGGTTCCGGGACTATGTCGCTCCGTCGCTGAAGCCTGTGCTCTCCACATCAATGGAAATGTGGAGGAGGAACCAAAGCTAAAAAGGATGACATGGGAGCAACACTGTCAAAATGGTCACGTGCCCTTCCGAAGAGATTGTCGAATCTGCCAGGAGCAAAGTGCTAAGTCCCGACCGCATCGAAAGGTCACACACCCACTGGCAGCGACGTTGTCACTGGACACTGCTGGTCCATATCCTGTCGCCAAAGATGGTAAGGACTTGATGAAGTACATCCTCGTTGGCACCTACACCTGGCTTCTTCCTCAGGAACAGCATCCGCCAGTACCGGATGATGAACTGGCTGACTCTGATGAAGTGCTGCTTGAAGAAGAAGATGAGGAGGAAGGAAATGAAAAGTGTGAGGAAGAAGAAGGTGGGGCAGAAGAAGGCGAACAAGGTGAAGAGATGAAGGAAGTTGAAGTGGGTGAAGAAAAAGAGAACCCCGATCTGATCACCTTTAGACTCGCCATTCCGATGGCCTCAAAGGATCAGAAGACGGTGCTGTCCACTATCCAGCAAATGT